CGTCGCGAAAACCCTCCTCAGGAGAGTGCAGCCGATCGTCAAATGGGAGGACTTCCCCGTCAGCGTAGAGGACGATACACCGTGGATCCAGCGGGTGAATCTCATGGCACTCGACGATGAGATGCACACCGCCATCGCGTGGGCGCTATTTCCCCGGAAGGCCCCAACCACCTTTATTGGGCCTTACCTTCCTCCGGATGGGAAGTACCTGGTCGCTCGCGACAGGGATCGGACACCCAGATGTCAAGGGGTGATCGGCCCCGGAGGCGAGTGCTCCGAATGGACACTCGAGAAGGAGTGCACGAACTCCGATCCTCCGGAAGAAGTTTTACCTTCCACAGAGCATATCCGTCTCGTTTATATACACCGGGCGGCGCGTGGACAGAAATGGCTCGGGACGCCAAATTACGCCAGACCAAGGGCTTCTGTGCAAGTCTGGTGACCTCACGGCGCCCGTCGCGAAATTCGTACGCTTTATTTCTAACTTCACTAATCCACTCACGTCTCGGCCTCCCCATCGTCCTGATGTATCTGCTGGTTGCCGGCTGCAGCGTTCCCGGGATGAAAAACGTCTGGTGCGTCGGATGCTCAACGGGACATCTCAAGACCTTACGAAAAAGAAGAAGTTGGCGCTTCGAAAACGTCAGTGGCAGCTTGACAACCCGCACAAAAAGGACACACGCGTTGGAAATTCGAGAAACAAACGCAGGACGAATCCCAAGAATGCATCGTAGGCATCGGTTTTGAAAGCCATCCAGGCGGTGGCGTTCAGCTGCAGAAATACACAGACAGCTCAAAAATAATAAATCAGTATTGATTCAATGAAGGCCCCGTAGATTTGAAGTTTCCGGGCAATGGGTAACGAAGAATGTTTCCCAACCTTTTGCAATTGGAGGAAGTCAGCCTTTGCCGTCCCAACTCGCCTACCAAACTCATGCCCAGGCAAACCGTCACAGCTGACAATGGCACCACGGTAGTCGATGCCCCTGGATCGGAGTGGGACGTCTCATGCAGTCGTACAAGTCCGGAAAAAAATCTCGGATGACGGCCAAAAAATTCCACACCCATTTGAGAACGAACTTTTTGGAAACGTATATATCAGAAATGTCCTGGATAACGTTTCGGAAAACGTATCGAAACACGTCCTGCCAGACGTCTCGGAAACGTTTTTGAGGAGGAAAATGACCCCCCCCCATGGAGTACGAAATTTTTGGGAAAACGTTACCGAAAACTTTGTATTCGAATGGGTGGTTTTTTTTTCGATGATCTTAAACCATTCCGAAAAGTTTCTCACGCGTTTCCGATACGTTTCTTGGATCTATATGCTCCGAGGGGGCTTTGTTGACACGGATCCGAAGTGTTTCCGATTGGCCCTCCGGGTAAGGCCATTTTGGTGGTGTCCAGACCCTTCCACAGTTCCCCCACGTCTCTTAAACCCCCTCGGGTGGGTTTGGAATCATGTGCGCGTGGTTCTCAAGTGGTTCGCGTGGCCCCCAAATGGTTCCTCGCGCCGGCCCGTCGCGCACATTCTATCTGGGAACAAAGTCATGCGAACACAAGAGCCAGATGGCAAGCGCAGACGTGGCCGTCCAAGAACCCGTCCCAGAAAGTGTGAGTTTACAAGCCCCCGCTTCTCAGCTCGAAGCTGGGCTTTGAACATTTCCGAGTGTTCTGTGTCAGCGACTGGGCTAAGGCATGGCGTCAAGACCGTACCACCACCTGTTCATGCCACCCAACAACCCAACCATCATATGATTTGCTGATGCTGAACGGGGAGGAGAACCCATTGCCGTCGCCTCAGCTTACTGTTTTTTTAGCAAACAATCCAAACATGAAACCTGTTCGGATCTTTGCGTTCCAACCTTGTCCTGTCGGACTGTCGAACTTCTCCGGTGTCTACGTCTGGGCAAGCATCACAGGTACAGCGGAGGACGCGTGTGATGGAATCTTGAGTCGTTGGGTCGGGTATGTGCTCTTGACCTTCTGCCTGCTCCCTTTTTGAAATCGCCGGCCCACGGGCATGCCAGACTTAGCAAACATTGTTCTAAGCTAAAAGCTGCTTGCGTATTTGGAAAAAACGGCAAGTCTTGCGATAGTCCGATGTGCAAAATTGCAAAGATTTGTACATGGGTTGAAGGATGAATGCTTCGGATTGCAAAGCGCGCATTTTGTAAATTGCCAGTTCCCGTGTCCTGAAATGGACTGTAGTTCCTGCCTGGAAGCGGTGCGTTACGGGTGCAGCCTTGCGTCCTGCCCAGCGTGGGAAGGGGCGAACCTAGCTGAAACTGCTCCGCTCGGCGCGTTCCCGCCTAAAGCTTAGTCTTGTTGGGAATTTAGCGTGTTGCCCGGTGGACCCTGATGTGGCGCAGTTCATCCGGCTCCTGGCCTGCAGCCGAGCGCACTCAGCTCCGCCTTTGTTGCGCGTCGGTGCCACAGCAATCTATGTGTCCCGTTTGTTCGCACCTAGCACGGACCGAGCCGCTGTGGCCAGCCTTCTTTCCCCTCTGCTTGGCAATGCGGCCAAGATTGACATTGATGGTGTCGTGCTTGATCTCGGAGATCTCCTCGCCGAGGATCCTGCCGCCGTCCCTCCCGATATGTGTGGCCGAGCACTGAGCCTTGGCTTTTTGCCGCGTTGCTAAGCCCTGAAATTTGGCTCCCTTGCATTCGACGGCCTGGATTGGACCGGCGGTTTGCTTTTTCAGGAGCTTTCTTCCGTAATACGTCTCGGAATAGATCGGGGCAGCTGGTTGCGGAGCGGCTTCTGGAGTGGGTTCCAGAGTGAAGTTAACTTCCGGACATGTTGGCAGATTGCGTGCGGTTCATTTCCATTCAGAGCTGAGTGGAGCATTCAGCCGCCTGATCCTATTGTTCAAGAAGATTCAAGGTTCCCAGCTTGTTTTGATCACCGTAAATATGGCACGCAGTGGCGCGCGGGTGGTCGCGTGGAGCGTAAGCAAATAATTCAACAAAACAATGTGTGGCTCGATGGTTCGTACAGCGGACAGATAAAGTGCAGGATAGCAACAGCTTTGAGGCCAGAGGTTTGAATCTAGCACGTTTGCGGACGGTTGTTTTGCGGATGATTGCTTTCCGGCAACTGAGCACTGAAACTGGTTGTTTGGGAGCATTGTATGTGCAGCAGTGCTGCACAGAGAAAGGGCTGCAAGGTTTTCGGATATGAGTACGTATTGTTGGTTCAACTGGCAAACACGTTTGATTTGGAACGGGCAGATTTTCCTTTAGCGTGCCCTATGCCTGTAGCTTTTGATTGTAAGGAAAGATCCTCTCACGCAAGGTCCGAAAACGGAGCTCAGGAAACAATGTTTGAGCCTTTACTCCTTTGATTCCTGATGATATTAGACGAGAACCAAAGAAGGCCTCAGAATCGGCATCCTTATTGGGGTTCTTTAGGTTTCAAAATTTAGGCTTCAGCCTAAAGCCGTAGGATTTTGAGATTAAACCTCAAACCTAAGCCTTGTTGTGTTTTAGGTTCGGGGAGTAAGTTGCTTTAGATTTAAAGGTTGTTGGGCTCAAAATTGCGTCTGCCTCAAGTTGTCTTGGACCCCGAATTTGGCCCAAAAGATGTTTCATATGTAAGGGGTTGAATTAGTTAAATGCACGCACCGGTCTTTTCTGTACGTGCACTTGCAATCTCCGTCTTCATTAGTGCAAGCGAGTGAGACAGCTGTTAAATGCATGTACGCGGAAACAAACGCGAAGGTTCACTGTTGTTGGGAGTGGCAATCATGCAAGGGAAGGTGGAAAGCGAAAGCACGTGGGTCGTAGGCAAACAAACAGTTCGATGTTGCCTGGGGAATGCCGTGCCGGGGTGATGAAAGCGCCGATGTCATGTTCTGAGATGCTCAAGCCAAAGCTAACAATTACAGGGCTTTGGACGCGTTTGGCTCACAGCATTTGGCACGCGGCGGGCATGATGGAAGCAGCGCGTGTGGACGCAATTGAGCATGTGCGTCTGCAACGGCCTGCCGCCACCCAAGCTTTTGTGCAAGGTTTGACAGTTGCAAGTGCAGATTCATGATGATGCATGTGTGGTTTCAGGCTTCAGTGCCTGCGGAATTGTCATGTTTGCTGGGCCGCCTGGCAGTCATAAGTGGATGTCAGCACATGTGGTCCATTCACTCGGTTCACTGTTTCAAGACTGCTTTTATCACGCAGTCGAGTTTTAGTTTCTGAAGCCTTCATGGAGCCTTTGTGCGGCAAAACCTGTGGCAAACAAAACCTTTCGTGGTTTTGCAGGCGTATGCATGAGGTTTTCTTGAGGAAGATTATGTAGTTAGATGATATTAGATGGAAGGCATTTCAACATAATTTTCCGCTTCGCTTTGGCCGAGCCACCAGTGCTCCCACCGACCCCGGCAAATGGGGTAGATGGAAAAGTCCATGCAATAAGAAAAGGACCTCGGTGTTGCTTTGGTCCGTTGTTTGTTTTGGAGGCCTGCAACATATATAGGCCGCAACAACCACATCTTTTTGTGGCACGCCAAGTTTGCCTGCTTGTCGGACTTGTCAGCCCTTGAAAATGTTTTTTTGCAATGGGACTTTGCCCATATGCTCCGCCCATGAGGCTGGCCTTGCCCCATAAAAGCGGACTTGCCATCGTCAGATGCGTGGTCTTGTTTCCACTTTTGTGGTGCAAAGCTCGCCCACCGGCCAAAGATGTGTGACATGAACAGTCGTCAACATCACGTCGAGCATGACGCCGGTCAGCGTCCTTGCAAATTTCCTGTTCAGGAGCACCGCGTCAGCGCTTGCAGCGGCAAAAATTGGGTACATTCCAGAATGTGCCGCTTCCTGAAAGCACGTCAACGCTGAAGCAGCATTTGCGTCGCACTTCTGTTGTGGCAGAAGCAGCTTCGCAGCTCGTGCAATCTTGCCGCCCGCAGGACATGTGGATGCAGCGGAGATATGCTTGTTGACGTTTTGTACAATGTTAACATAGCATTGCGTTTGTTTCACTTGCATGGGCTTCCTGTCAGGACATGCTTGCGCTTCTTGAGGAATGCATTTTCGAGTTCTGGGGGCCAAACGTAGTTGGCGAAGTCTGCTTAACATCGGCATTTGCGCCCCAGATTCCCGATTTTCACCAAAGTTGCAGCACGGATTTTCTATTTTCAGTGCGCTTGGGCGAGCAGCATCGAAATCATGCCGATACAAGCGATGGTCTGCATCTGCCAAAGTGTTGGTTCGGATCTCGCTGGGATGAGGCGTCTTCTTACTGGTGGCAGTTACGGGCGCTTGAAGATCACGATGCGTTACACGCCTGCTTCCAAAACAATGCAGGGGTCATAGTTGATGCTTGCACGCCAGCTTCGCAGCCCGCAGAGCCTGGACATGTGGCGGCGAAGTCTTTCCAGTTCGAAGAAAGCACGCGGCGGTCTGAAATGGAGAGCGAATCCACACGGCGAATCCAAAGTATGATGTATATTCCTCTCCATGGACATGGCGGTTGCATTGGAGTTCTGTGTCTTGCATCCTACAACGCGTTGGATTTCACAGAGGCCATACGGGAAACCTTCCTAAACATCGCCCAAATCACCGGAAGCCATTTACAAGTGCTGCAGATGCAATACCTTCTTGCCAAAGAACGTGAAGTCATTGAATTGGATCGCGCCCGTCACAAGCAACTTGCAACAGATTATCGTTCGCTGTTGAATGACATGGTCCCACCCCACATTGTTGACAAACTGAGCCGTGCTCACAGCTTGAGGACGTCTGACCTTGTTTGGAGACATCATTGCAACAACATGGTGCCTCCGACTCATCAGGATTCCTCACCATCTGATGTGCAAAGTCGCCTGGGGAGCCTTGTGTATGCCAAGCAGCATGACATGGTGGTCATACTGTTTACCGACATCAAGGGCTTCACCTGCATGAGTGAACACGTACACCCAGCCGAAACCATGCTCATGCTTGACGATTTGTTTGGTAAGTTTGATGACATCATTGATGCTCATTCTGACGTTGCATATAAAGTGGAGACAATCGGCGATGCATACATGGTTGCTTTCGGGCTCTTTGGCAACAATGGAGGAGCGGCCGAGCTGGGTGTATCAGCGATCACAGTAGCGGCCGAGATGATCGAAGCCTCGCAACAGGTGCCTATGCCAGGCAGCTCGGTGGGACGCAAGGTGGAAATCCGTGCAGGGTTGCACATCGGGTGTATCATGAGTGGCGTGATCGGGAAGAAAATTCCGCATTATTGCATGTTTGGTGACACCGTAAACACCGCAAGCCGCATGGAATCGTCTGGCTTGCCAAGCAAAATTCACGTGTCGCAGGCAGTGATGGAAGCCTGCAGAGCGAGCGCTCATTTTCGCTTCACTTCTGCAGGAGTCAAAAGTATCAAAGGCAAGGGGCCTATGAACACTTTCCTCGTGGATCCTCAAGAAGTGTTGGGCTGGAACGCCGGGAATCCACGTGTGTGCCAAATGCCGCCGCATGTGCCAAATATCTTAGCCCTTGTGCAAGGCAAGCCGTTGAACAACATGTTCAGCTGGATCTTGTCAGGGCTACGTAGGCTCTGGCCTTCGTGTTTACAGCTCTTCCGAGTCATGGCACCTCGTGTTTGAATTCAGGTGGTAAACAAATGCCACTTCGCAGAACGCAGGCATGAACTTTGTGTGCTGTCAAAGCCAATGAACTTATTGTACGTGACCCTTTTGAGGGACATGGGCAAAGCCCACGTCCCACTCCACCGCAAGCTATTGCGTAGGCGAAGGAGCGACAGCCCCCACGATCAGGATAAAGCACGTCTTGATGAATGGAGGGCTTCAGATCCAAACCTGCTTCGACAGTTATGTCACATGTGTGTTTACGAAGCGTGGAGAGTATTTGCAATCGCATTATGCAACGTGGTAGCGCGCGAGGCTCATGCGGTAAAACTGCACTGAGGCGCAAATTCGCTATGTACAAGTTGGCTTAAAGCCACCCAGCTTTTCGGAAGACACTAGGCTTGCGTCGCACATGCGAAGCAAGAGAGAAAAAAACATTACCCAATGGAGGACCTCATAATTTTTGCTGTCATAGTTATCAGAATGGACAGTCGAAGAAGGAGGTTCCAAAGCCTGATGAGCTTCTCCATGTGTGCTGCTGCTGCTGCTGCTGCTAAGTTCTGCTCATTGTTGTAGTCGTCCGCATCGCTTAACGCGCATTTTGTTGCTGACAGGCTTCCATGTCACTATTGTTGCGTCTCAATGGAAGCCGCATCACAGCGTACAGAGTTTAGCATGTCGTAGGTACAGAATGGCCGAGGCAATCAACAAGTAGGGCCTAGAACCCTAAAAGCTTGAGCTCATGGTAGCAGACAAGATAATTCAGGCCAGGGCTTGAAAGCCGTTGTAGTCACCAGGTCCTTTGTGTGTATTTGACAGCAGCTACCATGCAAAATGCGTGTTGGCCATGTCGCAGTCGCTGAGCTTGGAGCTTACGCTAAGGCAAGTGGTGCGAACGTTGCTTGTTTTGCATTCTTTCGGAAGGTGATATCAACACATCAACTACGACAAATGCTGCTGACTTTGCATCTAGTTGATTGCTGTTCTGTGCGTGTGAGAAATGCACCATTCGGTGAGGCCAGCAGCACACTACCAGGCACGCCATGGTCAAAGAGCGTCGGCCTGCTATGCTGCAGTTCTGTAGATTCTGCAGGCTCCACGGTTCCCGCGACTCAGAACCTGACCACATCTCTGGCCGCAGCTTCCAGCGATCGGGAAGGCAGCATGGAAATGCTGGTTGAGCCTGGTTCCCGCTTGCTCCCTCAGCCGCAACTGCGTTCCAACTGCTCTTTGTTTGCAGTCGACTCCACGTCCAAAAGAGGAGAACTTGGTATCGTGAGCGGCCTACAGCTCCGTAAGGCCTCGCTTGTGAGGCGAACTTGTCGCCGCATACATATTCTAGAAACATTAGGACATTATGGATGGCAAGGTCCGTAGCACGTCACGGAACATGGTTTCTGGGATATCAAACTCATGAGCTTGTACATCACCAAGAAGAGCTCGTGCACCTGGCCAGCTGAGACAAACAGGACAACTTCAAGAACAGTTGTACATATATCTCTGCCGGATTGTTGTTGGATGTGTTGTTCTTAAACAACGTACGAAATCACTAGCACTTCCCCTCCCCAATTCCCCCTTCACATCGAGCATGCGCTCTGGCACCGTTTTCGCTGTAGTTGGAAGTGCCTGCTGCGGTTACAACTGTTACCACCACTACCACTACTCCTAATACTGCTGCTGCTGCTGTTGCTGCATGCTACTGTGATGGTTGGAATTATTGATTTTCATTACAATTACACATGAGTCTTAGTATTAGGATGCGAATACTATCAAATACTGTTACTGACTTTCAATGACTTTGATGCTGCTGCCATAATTTCCGCAACTTGTACTGCTGGTGTGCTAGTCCTGTGAACAGTACTGTCCGCAATAGTCAGAAGGGGCAATTGAGTTGGTTGGAAGGCTCAGACAACTCTTCTGTGACGTCTTCCACTTCCACTTCCACAACGTCGGTTGCTGCAGACGTTGACCGGATCAGCTGTTTTCTCAGCGGCACGTGGAGTCCGTGGAGTGGATGCGTGTCATGTTCTCACAGCTATAATGGTGGTTGTCGCGCAGAAGTGCTGGATAAATGGAATGGCGCTGGATTGGGTAACGATTTTTTGTAAACTCTGCCCCGTATGCTTTGCAACGGTGTTGCTATGCCTTGCTACCCCATAGCTGAATATACAATCTAAGTCTAACATTTTGAGATGCAGAATGATTCTCTGCCGAGGTTTCAAAGCAGGGGAATGAATGTAGACGAAGACGGCGAAAATGCATTCGGCCAGCCTGACTTTGATGTCTGAACAAAGCGCCCAAAAACTTCCATCTGATTCTTTTGTAACATTGTAGCTGTTGGGTTGCATGTCCAACAAGCAGACATTTCGCTTCAATCATGGGGTGGCGCGTCCAGTTGTTGAGTGAACGGACCATCTAGATGAGAACCACAGAGCATCCATGCAATGGGGGACAAAAGGTTGCCAGCTTCCCGCTGAGCCTTTGGAGCGGCTTGTGTTCTGCTGCTAAGGCAACACAACAGCATACACAACATCCACAAGTTCTGCGGCTCTCGGTGGCAACAGCCACAGCCTGTGTCCCAGCTGGTAGTTGGTCCAGTTTTGTTAGCACTGGTGGCTTGTTTCGAGCTTGCGAAGGCAATGTAACCTCCCATCATGGCAATGGCTCAAATTGGTCAGCAGCGCTGCTTCCAGGCAGCCCTGCATGCAGCCTTGTGGTGATGAGCTTCCGGGGAGCTGCCAAGCAGATGTAAAGGAGTAGACTGGGACATAAATGGCAGCTGAATGATTGAATTTCTGGATTCAGGAAAGATAGGAAGCCCAACAGATCAGTCTCCTCCAGATGTCGAAGGCAGAGGTTTTCCAACGGTGCCTAGCTCAGCTGTGCTTAGCGCAGGGCCTGTCGTTGCAATCAATTCCAGCTCGAGGTTACGCTGATCGTCAGCGTTGCTGCAGTTTTCCTCCTGGTCACATTTTTCAGACCCTGCAGGCGGTTGCGAAGCAGTTTGATGTGAGCAATGTCTTGGCATGTTCAGAAACCTCTTGTTCAGGCGGCGGACGAGACGGGAGCTGGCACCTGGTGACATGCAGCTGCATCTCTTGCGAGTTTTCACTCTTGACTTTGTCTGACAAGGGACGTCATCACACTTGCTTTCAGGTCTAGCCTCTCTGAGTGGATGGGTGCGGATGACGACGATGATGTTATCATTGCTGAAGCCTGAGTTAGGTTTGCAATGCTTGGCCTTGTATTTTCGGTGATCCAACGTGCTTTGCCTGCAGCCGTTTGCAGCCAATGCCAGCCAGGTTGAAGTATGCACATTATCTTCAGTGCACTTGAGTGGCTGGATGCTGATACTACACACAAACCTAACTGTTAGGCACTTGGAGCGGGGTGGAATCAGAAGGCCTAGCAACATGTAGCAACGTTGGCAACGGCAAGCTTCCAACTGCATGTGCTGGTCCAGAGGGTCAAAGCTACAACGAGCTTGGTAGCGCCGTTCGATTTACTAGGCTGCTGGTATTGCATGGAACCTCCATGTGACGGTGACCCAGTGTGTCTTGGCCTTTTCCAAGATCTAGGTGCCTAAAGCTCGTTTTTGCATTCGACGCCCATGTGACATGTTTGTGTTTCTCATGAAGCAGGGGCTGGCATGCCGGAGGAACGGACTCTCAATAACGTTCTGGGGATGGCTGCAAGGACGTGGAGGTCTGAAGGTTTGTCAGCGCACATGGCAGTTTTGAACCCTCTCGGTTGGCGCAGATCCTGCGTGGATGTTGTAGACATGCCACAACCCATCCAAACTCGTCAGTCCGGCAAGCAATGATGAAGCACTTGCTGTGGCCTTCTGCGCAGACTGAGCTTTGCACTCCAACAGCCTAGAACAATTATGTATGCTGATCTTGCCTTCGGCATTTTTACGAATGGGCTTGCATGGTTGGAAGTCATCTCCCGAGCTGAAACCTTTTAGACAGCAAACAACATTAGCTTGAACACCAAATTGGAGTCCTACAATCATGGAACGCAACAATGGGATGCAGAACGCATAGGGGGGGGGCGGGTCGGGGCCAGTAAGCGAGAAATGGTAGAAAGCGCAAGTAGATCTTTCACGTGGTCATATTGCATGAGCTCCTGCAGTTGGCAAGGCACAAGCAGGTAACCGCATTGAAGCCAAGACAGACGCTTGGTTAAATTCGCAACTGATGTTGTGGTCAGTTGCACTGGTGTGTTCTGGTCCTAGCCAACCTCGCTGACTGAGGTGGTGTATCCGATGCAGTTGTGTTTTCTTCAATGTCCTCAGCGGTGTCGTCAATGGCTATGACATTTGCATCACCACCGGAATTCTTGACTCTGTAGACCGCGACCTTCAGCTTTGCACCACCGCGGGTGAGGTCGCTACCTGTTTCCTTAAGGACATGCTCATGTTGATGCTTTTGCTGCAGCTAGCAGTGGTCACACTAGCAAGAATTTTTGCAGGGATGGTCAAGATGCGGCAGTAGCAGTGAGTGTAAGAGTTGTGAGCTGCATTTGCTGCCATGCCCTGCCCTCACAGGAGGCGGTCATGTCCTTCGCAAGCATGGGCAGCCTTGTAGCAAAGATCTGCGGCGTGTCCATTGCAGACAGGTATGGTCGTTCGGCTGCGCTTTTCGTGGCCGACGTGTTGATTCTCATCTCGGTTGCTGTGCAGTCAAGCACCCGAGCCGTCCCAAGTTTTTTCCTGGCCCGCTTTATGATCGGCGCAGGCATGGGATTGGCCTTTGTTGTCACGCCCACTTACCTCTGTGAGATCGCTCCGCGTGCCCAGCGAGGTCTTTTCGTTTGCTTACATGAAGTTGCCGTATGTGTGGGCTGCTTGCTTGGCTTGCACATATCGTCTCGAGACACAGCGGAATGGCAATGGCAGCACGTGATTGCGATTGCCGCGGTGCCGGCTGCAGTCCAGCTTGTTTTTGTTTGTGTGCTGCCGGAGAGCCCTCGGTGGTTTGCAATGCGCGGAGACGTATCTGGCTTGGACCGAGCTTCTGAACAGTTGGGGCTGGAAGCAGAGACTGCCGAGTTGAGAAAGCTCGTGCTGGGTGGTGGCACCTCATCTGATCCAAGTCCAGATCGAGGATACTGCTGCAGCCGTAATCTTGCGAACTGGCAAAAGCACAGACGTCCTTTTCTGATCGCTTTGGGCCTGGCGGGATGTAATTCAGCAACCGGGACCTTTGCAATCCAGACTTATGCGTACGACCTGCTTCGCGTTTGTGGTGTGCTAGAGCCTGCCCCACTGCTGCCAGTCATTGGATGGATGAAGCTGTTTGGGGCATTGCTCGCAATGTTTACTGCTGATAGGCTGGGCAGGAGACGGCTGGTCATTACAGGAAGCTTGTTTTGCACGATTTGCGATATGCTGCTGGCAGTGCAATTGGCCATGCCGCAGTTTCTCACGTCGCAGCTTGCTGCGTTCTGCATATTCTTCAGAATACTTTCCTGGAACGCTGGTTACGGAGGCGTTCAATTCGTGGCTATCTCCGAGATCCTGCCCAGCGAGGTCCGTTCTTCCTTCATGGCCCAAAGCCAGGTGGTGGCAAGCCTTATTGACATTCTCATATTTCAGCTGTTCGAAACCTTGCTCTTTACAAATCAATCTGTCACCTTCGCAACCTTTGCGGCGATAAATTGTGGGAGTTGCTTGTTTGCTGTTCGGTTTTTGCCAGACCTGCGTGGGCTTTCGCTGGAGGAGATCCATGAAGGTGGTCGCTCCTACGGTGTTCTGTCTGAAGAGATTCCTGGTGAGGCCGCGCCCGAACCACAGGTTCTGGGAGTGAGTCAGTCGGATGTGGCCGTTGATGTGGACGTGTTGAATGTCAGCAGCCCTTCCACCAGCAAAAAAACATGGCAGCTGCCACGAGACGGGTCAAGTTAGATTAAGCCTAGTTGGCCAGTCCATGCAATGGTTTTCTTGTGTCACTGGTTGCTGGCGCATGCCTAAGCGATACTAGTAGTCCAGGCCGGACCCTTATCTGGACGCAGGGTTCTCAGGCCAGCGATTGATGTCTGCCTGAAGCTAGGCTCTATGAAGTCTTCAAGTTGCTTAGGTCGAGGCTCGCGACCCTTATCAGCCGCCTGCGGATCCACAGACTACTACGCATCCCAGATGCAAACTGCACCAACAGAGGTAAATTTGAACGTGGTCGAGATTCAGTCCAGTTTGCTGAAAGCCTCGCCCAGGACATGTCCACACCGCGTCTGGAGGCAGGTCAGCGTGTGCTAGCGTGACGTGTGGCTTGTAGCTGCAGTTGTGGTTGATACCATAGCTGCAGCAGGCTCCCGGCTTGGGTCGCCCGCGCTGACTGCAATGCTACCCGTGAAAAAAGTTACTTGTTGCGATCGGGGTGCTGCTTACCATCGATTTGCTAAAGGACAGGCGTTTCATGCTGACGTTGTCAGCCTATTGAGGCGCAGTCCAGCTCAAAAGGTAGGGTAGGGAGGCTTACCTGCCGCAAGTTGTTGGAGATCCGCCGTTCCGTAGGCACAGCAACGGCTGGTGCTGCGAGGATTGGCTGTAGTGCACGCCTCTCGAAGGCATGGCTCATCGGATTCTCCTCTTGGCGGCCACTGCTATTGCAAAGTCCGAAGAACAAGTAGGCAGGAGTGCTGTAGCCAGCTGTGTCTTTTTGCCCGGGGTGACAGAACACCTTAGGTCCCACATGTTCGGGCACTATTGAGCTGAAGGGCCACGGTGGCCAAGCAGCAAAAAGAAATCTTTCAAGCTTTAGAGGAGTGACCAGCAGCTTCTGCCAAACGGGCCGAGGTCCTGTCCAGATGACCAATGCATACTGGAATGTCCCAGAGGATTTGGCTGGGAACGTGGAAGTTGTCAATGGAGCGATTGAAGTCTTCATGAAGGGCCGCACATACTTTTCAGACGCTTGCGGTGCAAAGTTTAACAACAGCCGCTATTCGCGGCTGTATCTTCTTGGGAAGCGGCTGCGGTGGACCACAGATATCTCGCAGACAGACTGCGGTTGCAATGCTGCTTTCTACTTGGGTTCGCTTCACCAGAATGCTGACGTCTCCAAGTGCGAGGATTACTACTGTGATGCCAATGATGTATGCGGTGTGCGGTGTGCTGAGATTGACCTGCAAGAGGCCAACAAGCATGCTTTCCACTCCGTACTCCATCTCCAGGACGATAACTCAGGAAGTGGACTTGGGTATGGTGGTGGAGGCATTGATTGGAGCTGGCACAGAGATTGGACCAAAGAAGAGTACGGCCCCGGTGCAAACTGCATCGACACCAATCATCCCTTCGAGGTTGAGATTGGTTTCCCTCTTGGCAGCAATGGTGAGCTGCAAGCCTTGACAACGCGATTGTCCCAAGTAGGAAGCCCGTGCGAGCTTCAAGCAGAGATTCAAACCGCAAGCTACATCTTCCAGGGCCGACCAAGCGCGAGTGAGCTGACTCAGGCCCTCCATGAAGGGATGACGCCTATTGTTAGCTATTGGAGTAACGAAGACCTGCAGTGGATGGACGGCAAGGGTGCGGATGGGTTGGGGCCCTGCGCCGAAGATGTTCCTGATTCCTGCGGACCATCGGTACAATTCTACGAAGCTTGACAGCCAGCCTTCCGATTCCTAGGTTATTTTGCGTAGGTTCGGGGCTGCAGCATACCCACGGATTTGGCAAGCAACATGGTTCCTGAGAGACCAGGACAGTGGCCAAAAATACGACTAGAAAGGATCCTCTCTCTTTCATTGGTTTGCTTTGCCTCTTCTAGTTCGCACATGAGTGCTCACATGTCTTCTGAAGCTCAGGGCTTTGAACTGGAAAGCTTCTTGGACTTTGTTCATCCATCTTGCCACTGCTTGATTCCGATTTGTTCATCCATATCCCACTAATTCTTGACCTGTGTTTGGAACAAGGCCTGGACGAAAGGCTCATATGATACGCTGCGCGAGAATTCGAAGTCAGAGTGTTCTAAGCAGCACTCTGATGGGTAGGTTGTTTCCTTGGCATGTGCAATTCAGACTAGTGTGACCCACCCCTTGATAGAGGGGGCTTTTGTCTTGCAGGTGCCCTCCGGTCATTGGAAACTAAGCGCAAATTGCTTGAGAGACTTGTTAAGCTGTGCAGGGGCCTTTGCAAACCTTGCTGCTGCTGTGGAGTTGTAAATTGCAAGTGCTTCAGGCGGTTCTGCCTGAACACACTTCTGCTGATACAAAGGTGCTTGTCGATTGCCACTGAGTCGAGTCCAGGGCTTCCAACATCTGGCCGCATTCGGCCTCACAGCACAAGTACAAGTTTGCATGTTTGCGAGTTTGCGCAAGTTCCTGGCTCTCATATCATCATGTGCTGCATACCCAGTCAACGCTTTATTTTGTTTTGGGTTCTAAGGCCCGAGCACATGTGCATACAAATGCTGCAAGCGTTTTCCCTGTATGCCTCGGTTTTTGTGTGTCACCTTAGCAAATGAAGTGGAGTGACAGTCCCTAATAAACTTACCAGCTCCGAATTACATTGCAAGCCTCGGCGCCCGACATGCGCCGAGAAATGCGTCGATATCACACTGAACCTGCGCCGATCAAGCTTGTGAAGCAGCCAGGGCTGCAACAAATTCCCCGATCAGCGATGAGTCTGACATTGACCTGGTGTTAGAGCTAAGTTTATTGCGTGCGCGTCATGGGATAGGTTTGTTTCGCATCAATATTGGCATTAATCAAATCCCCCACGCACATGTTAAGGCCTGCGCTGTCTCGCAGCGTGTCGGGGCAGGTTCCACTGGTTCCCCCCGACACTGACGGGGTGAGACAACAACTCCTGGCAGATGGCCCATCCACTACATTGCTGGATGTTGCCAAAGGCATTATTGACAGGCTCCTGGAAAACCCAGAGCTGGAAGTGGCTGCTTGACCGGAACGGGCCTGCCTACAACATTTTGTGTTGAAGTTCCGGACTGCCACCTGGTTCCGGCATTCGCTCAAACCACTATGTCAGCTAAGTTATTGTGTGGGCCAGAAGGACTTTATTTGAACTTCAGGTGTGGGTGTTTCAGCACATTCTTTTGCGGATGCCTTGGCTTCTGCGTCACTTTATTAGTCAACAGATGATATCACACAAGCTGTGCTGTGCTACTTCTGACTGTGCTAGAATTGCTAATAATGACTGGTATCATTCTTATTACTATTTTTTATATTGTAATTACTATTAATATATTAAGATTACTATCATATGCTTTTTCTGTCGTCTGCAATATGAATCTCTGTGCCACTGAAATTTGCAAGCATTGAGCTGAGGAAGAAACACTTTTCTTAAAAGACTGCATCGGGGCGAGCCTGGAAACTCTGGCAATGCCCTGTTCTTTACTGCAGCGAGACACAGGAAGCTTATTCTGAAAGTAAAATGGTTGTAAACTGTTGTTCTTAACATGTGGCTGCGGAGGGAATAGGATAGCAAGGGCGCATCCTTGGCCAGGCGATGGAACTCCAGGCAGGCTGTTTGGCAGTTTGTGTGCGCAAGCGAATGGATTCCTTGAAAGCTATGCTGACGTTAGTGAGAAGCCACAGCACATTTTGCGTGCGACGCATGTTTCTTGCATGTGGTAGTTGCCAGGTGGATATGCTGCTTGACCTGAACAAGCTTTGTGATTGCTGACAGAATGATGAAAAAGCAGCTGAAGCCAAGATTTCTTGCCAGTGCTTAATGTTGTCCTGAGGACTACCTCTTTTCCATCTATGCCAAGCAGGCCTGGCATCGTACATGGCTGAAGGAGGCTATTGAAACGGATCTTTTGGCCACTTTAGCCAGGTGCAGCCAAGCTCCTCGTGTCCCGGAACGCCTGGGAGCCGCTCAAGAACCCCTTCGGTGGCTTTCCGACAACCCAACTGGGACTCAATAGACTCGAAGATGTTGACGGCCTTCGCAGCTTGCCTTCAATGCAGCTTACTGGCGTCCCACGTTCAAGGGTATTGAGGGACGCGGTGCTTTCCCTGTCACTCCTCTGGCTTAGTTTGTTTCGGCTCTTCGCGGCAACGTATAGGAGTGGCTGGAGAGTTTATAGGCCTTCTTGAAAAGAGAGCAATGCCTTCCACGCCGAGGATCTGTGGGACTTTGATAGCAACTTGACAAGCTTTTGAATTGGAGGCATTGCTGAAGCTGTTGCAACAGTTGCGCTGTGAATTCGGGGTTTCCTGTCATCCCAGGCTTTGAGCTGTCAGAGGCAACCCGTGGCCACCCGCTGCGCTTTGCCGCGTGGAGGGCGCTTGATGGCTTCCTTTCTGACGAGAACCTTTCTTAGCTCTGCAGTAGCAAAAGTGCGGCATGAGGCACACGCACGAACTCACACCTCAGTGCTTGGCATGAGGACTGAGATTTTCCTTGACATGGACAAGACCAGCCGCTTCTTGGAAGCTGCCGAGGAGCTTTGCACTTCTTTGAAGTCAGGTTTGTTCTCAGTTTTACAAATGATGGAGGAGATGTATGCCAAAGCAGACACTGTACTTTATCATAACAATGTGCATGCAGCAGATGTCACTGGCCTGCAACCAACTTTTGTGATGGTAAGAAGCAGCTGTCCAGAAATCTTGGCGTGTCTAAGGTGACCCAGTGCGTGCATGCTTTGCTTGTACAATTTGGATTCGCGGCCTTCTTTGACCAGCTCAGCATTCTAGCCCTTCTCCTGGGCGCTGCTGTGCATGACATGGGCTCGGGCCTCACGCCGTTGACACTTCATTATGTGCTGCTATGGAGAACTGAGAAGTTTGAGGCCATGATGGGCGCACAAACTCCTACCACGTGAACGTGGGGGATGACATAGCTTATACATACAATGCTTCGCGGTGTGCATTGGAGTAGGCAATCTGATATTGAAATCAGGCTATTGTGTTCACACAGGAAGGAAAATCCAGAATGGACCATCGCCACCCAACTTCTAAGGAAATCTAAGTGCCTCTCAGGGAGCAATCCACAGGGAGTGTCACCTAATTTGGTAAAGTGAAGGGCGTGGAAGGCCAGGGTGAAATCGTTGGCAGGACCACTCTTCAACGGGGCTGCGTCCACATTCTTGCGTTCAAAGGTTGGGACATGTTGGGGTGTCAGACTTGAAAAGTGAAATGACCAAGAAGCGGACCGCAGATATTAGGGTTGCGTCTGTCGCTGCGCTTGTGGAAGCCACAATGGCCCAGAAGTGCAGCTATTGGCTCACCTCTGGCATGCTGGTCTGAGGATATTAGTGTTCTGGAGAACATGCATATCTCCAAAGCCTTCAAGCTCATGCGCACTGCCCGCCGCTCAGTTGCCCAACTGGGGCACGGCAGTTCTTGGCTTTGCAGACTTGGCGCTCCAGTTGCGCAGGACCCATCCGCAAACATACTGGCTGCCTGGCAAGAATGCTTTTGGGGAAGACAGTTTGCTGAGCCAATGACAGCAGTGACAGCCCCCTTCATGGTACGTACAATATACTATTTTTTGAAGATAGTATCAGTAGAAATAGGCATAGTATCCATCAGTGGTAGTACCAGTATCAACGCAATGGACATACATATATATATATATATACATATGTATATAATGTATATATATACAAACATAATAGTATTAATTGTATTCCGAAAACAATCTTTTTGGGGGTGGGTGGTCCAACTAAGCGATCACATACAGGGTTATGTTATGTAGGGACAAGAATATAGATAAGAATAGTTACATGAATAATATAACAACAATAATACCAATGGTAAGAACTGTATTAATGAGATTAACAACAGTGCCGACAATATTTCCAAGGCAATATCTTGGGTTTTGATAGAGGGTTGTATAGGAATAGTAGGAACAAGATTTCAAATATATAGGGAGTATGAACAAGATTTCCAAAAAGATATGGTCACAGTATAGAGTTTTGTAGAGGAATAGTATGAACAATATTTCTGAAATTATGTAGGATCGTCGAGAGAGGGTTGTATAGGGATGGTATGAATCTATAGTAGCTTCCATTTTCTTTTCCATTCCCCCAATATAACCCTAAATCGTAGCTTCCATTTTATTTTCCATTATCCCAATATGACTAACCCCTATATAACAACCTCAACCCTAAAACCCAAAACGCTGGCTGAGGATGGCTTCAAACATGATCATCGCACACGTCTTCGCAAGGAGATGGTGGAGGCTGTTTGGTGAAACAGGGTTAAGGGTTAAGGGTTAAGGGCTTAGGCTTTGGGGTTTCGGATTTGGGGTTTAGGGCCTAGGGATTAGGATGCAAGAAAGGGTCTGGGGATTGGGATTTGGAAGACAAAAAAGTAGTAGGGTAAAGGGATTCTTCCTTCACAGTATTTCCCATGTAGCTACTGGAAAATCCAAAATCAAATGGAGAAGACAATGAACAATGAAATGGAAACTGTGATAAATTGTTCCTGCATCTTAGTGGGTGATGCCGGCCGGCCCTCGCCGTTGTTGCAGGTAGTTCTGGGTACAGACATGTCTTCCCATTTCGGAAATGTAGCAGCTTGGCGGCAATCGATCGGGACGGATGCGGCTTCTCACCGATATCAGCTGCCACTTTGCATGTACAAATCAGGTGTTTGGTTTTACTGAAGACATAGGATGACCGGTTCATCTGCTTGCCCAAGGCCGTTATATGCGCGAATGTCTGCGCAGTGCAGGTGCTGATGTCCCTTCACCTTATTCTGTAAACCAAGGCGGACTTCAAGACTTTGGTCGAGAAGCTCGGTAATGAGACACGGGAGTGGCACGAAGAGAAAGCCATGCAACTCAGCACAAGAATCAGACAAAAGCTAAGAAGTTGGGTCCCAGCAGAACAAGAAGACTCAACAGGTATGACAGGTCCTCTGCTATCGGGACCTAAGGTCTGCATTGCGGGTGATGGTCCTCCATGCGATGGACATCTCCAATCCTGCGAAGGTGCTAGACCTTTCGGACAAGTGGTCTGTTTCTTACCTCAAATATTATCTGAGCCTGTAAGTTTACTTTAGAAGCGCATTGCGTGGCCCATGGAGTAAGCATCGAAAAGGCCGTGTGTGAGTTCTGGTTCTTTGGGTTCTGGTCCTTGCGACCTCAAAAACATAGTGATATAGCTTCACAAGAGTCACATCAGCGTCGCAGCCTGCGCATCCATCCGCGTGCAAGCAGCGTTCCGTGAGGAAAGGCATCGTTCGGAGACTGTCTTGTGTGGTTTCATGTGAGAACCTCAGGGAACTTCGCTAGGCCACTAGCGTGCCGCCACAATGGCTCCACTCTTCAAACAGGTGTCGATAGAGCGGCTGCGGAAGAGCCGCAGCTGTAAGAGGTGCTCAAAGAGCAGCGTTGTAATTATGAGCACAATCAGCCATGGAGACATTGACAGCGACAACGCAGACAGTACAGTAGCCCCTCCTGCCAACTACGTTCGCTTCAGAGAGTGCTGGACTAGGCAAGACATGTTGTAGCCGCCATGTTCGCGCAATTGCCAGGCAAACATGCTTGAATATCAGACATACATTTATCGCACTTCTTTGTCTTGTGGACGGGCTGGATGCGAGCTGTTGCTCTCGTGCGCGGTTGAATCGCCGCGAGTACCAGAACTAGTAGCCGGTACATGTCGAGCAGTAGTAGCAGTGGCAGCAGCAGCGGCGGCGGCTGTGGCGGTAGTGGTGCTGGTGGTTGTGCTGGTGCTGGTGCTGCTGGTGCTGGTGGTGGTGGTGGTGGTGGTGGTGCTGCTGCTGCTGCTGCTGCTGCTGCTGATGCTGGTGCTGTCGCTGGTGGTGGTGGTTGTGGTGGTGGGTGGTGGTGCTGGTGCTGGTGGTGGTGGTGGTGGTGCTGCTGCTGCTGATGCTGGTGCTGTCGCTGGTGGTGGCGGTTGTGGTGGTGGGTGGTGGTGCTGGTGCTGGTGCTGTTGCTGCTGCTGCTGCTGCTGCTGCTGCTGTTGCTGCTGCTGCTGTTGTTGTTGTTGTTGGTGGTGGTGGTGGTGGCGGTGGTGTTGTTGGTGGTGCTCTTGCT